ACAACAACTTCTACTACTACTATTACTACTACTACTACTACTACTACTACTACTACTACTACTACTACAACAACTACTACTGCTATACTACTACGACTACTAGTACAAGGTACTACTGCTACTACAACTACTATGACGAATATTACTACGACTACGATGACTACTACTTCTAATACATCTACTACTCCTACTACTCCTACTACTACTACTACTACTACTACTACTACTACTACTACTACTACTACTACTACCACCACTACTAGTACTTCTACCTCAACTACTTCTAGTATTACTACTACAACTACTACTACTACTACTTCTACTACTACTACTACTACTAATATTAATGTTACAGAAACTGCTACTGATAATACTTTTTGAAAAATCAACCTAATTTTACTATTATGTATTCATCCTTAGCAGTTTTTAAATACACACGGCCGCACAGGCTCCGACAGGCTCGCTAGCCTGGATTTAACAAGGTCTAGAAGCAGAGACCATTCTGGATCTCGTCCCGTAAATCGTTATGTGGTTCAACTCCAAACTTCTGGCCAACCCGACCGCGGTTCGTGACAGGTCTGAAATGAGTTTATTCCCCCAGCGAGCCCTCTCCGCGACCGTCAACAAACAGGGAGGTGTCGGGGACCAGATCAATGTACTTTACCAAGGTCAGCCATAGGAGAGAAAGGGAGTGAAAGAAGGAGGGAGAGATGGATGGTGGGGGAAAGAGAGGGGTAGAAATAGATGGAGTGAAAGTGAATGAGTAATCGAAGAGAGAAAGAGAGACAGAGAGAGAGGGAAAAGGAGAGAAGAATAGCGAGGAGAAAGAGAGAGAGAGAGAGAGAGAGAACAGAGAAAGAGAGAATATACTACTACTACTACTACTAATATTAAGGAGAAAAAAGAGATTGGAGGGAGAGAGAAAGAGAGAAATAGAAAGGGAGGTGTCACGAAAGGTCAAAAGCAAGATGGAGTGAATATAATACAAGCGAAAGAAATTAAAACGAGAGAGGAGAGGCAGAAGGAGAGAGAAGGGAAGAAAATAGTGTTATGCAATAATTATAATAATAATAATAATAATATTTAATTTTTATATAGAAATAGTTGAACAAAAATGTAATAAAAAGAAAGAGTTAGAGAGAAATGGGGAAATGGGGAGAGGGCAAAAATGGACGAAGAGTTGAATTTAGCGAATGCGAGAAAAATGTAATAAACATTCAGACTTAGAGGGAAAAACGAGGATTAGGCTGTTTTCTATAATTTTGAAAACTTTTGAAAATATTTTCGAATCCAGTCATGTAAAGGTGGAGAGAAACTGAAAGAATATTTTCATCTTCCTGTCCGTAATTTTCCTCTCTGGACTCTTTATAAGATTGCAATATCTAAAGTACAAATCTATCAAACATTAATGATAGTGTCCATGATCTATCCCCTTCCCCCTCCTATTCTCAGGTTTAGAGGTTGGGAGGCGGGGGAAATGAAAGAATATTTTCATCTTCTTAAGAAGAAAAGAAGAGCTATATTCGAAATATTATTTCCTCTATTTTGCAAAATTTCAACTTAACCCCCAAAACAGCCTATTATTTCTCCCGTTATGTTTAAAGATAATTTTTCTCGCATTCCAGTCAAGTTTTGTTCAATACATTGATTTGAGAGAGGGGAGCGTTTTTGATCTATCGCCTAGAAGAAAAACAAGCTACACGTCGAGTGCATCAGTGAATGCTCGGACACAAATCTCATGGAAGGGGTAGTTCTCAATCCATCAGACACCCCTAAAGCTACCCGCCCAATGCACCCGTGTGTGTAACCAGTTTCATAGAAAGGGCGTGCCTGTTATGGGGTGCACCAGATACCCCATCACATGACAAGGTGCACTTTCTGTGGGGTTGACTCCCTAGGGCTATTCGTGTGTTTCGTTACAAATATACCAAAATGAGATATTCCCTTTGCACCTCAATACTCATTCCAGAACTCAGCAAGGGTGTCAACAGACTATTTACCCCCCTCCGGGGAATCGAAATGAATATATCCAAAACAATACCATTTCTAGGATTTGATTTGTCTGTTCTTTTACGTTCTAAGACTTGTTTCTTTTTTCTTTGATGTTCTTTCGTTGGCATTTTTTTATATTTTACGTAACAATTTCTTTGACACAGGCCACGCTAGCCGTTGTCATAATCATTATGATATTACATTTATAAAGCGCATAAACAAGAATACTAACAAACAAACATCAAACAGAGAACATCATCAAACGAAGCTTAAATTACTTACAAACAGGGAGGAATACTCCAACAAAATAGATAAGATGTGTTTTCAAACACTTCTAGGACCTATCACTGATAACAAAACGTCATCTTCATACTAAGAGTGTTGTCATTAAATAGTCAATTTATACTTTGTTTGAGTTTGTTTGATATGCAATGCACAGCATCTCGATGTAATTTGATAAAGAGTTGGAAAAGTCGACTATTCATTATATATATTGATTTGAGGGGGAGGGCAAAAACTGTCTTTTAAATTACAAAAAGTAATCTGCGAATAGGCATACATGTAAGTTAGTAATCAGCAAATCACCCAAAGTAAACAACTAGATAATCAATATGCTAATGAATATTTATTCAATATAATCAATCGTCCAATCAGTGTTCGATAAATCAATCAATCGGCATTAGTGTAGTGCAAATTCAATCAGCGGCCCAACAGGACAGCAGAACAACAGAAGCGCTCAACGAATTAATCAATCAACTAACCACCAGGCATCTAGTCAGTCCGGCAATCAATTTATTGATCACTTTATCAACCCAATATCCAATCCACTAATCAATCAATCAGTCATTCAACCCGAGTTTGCAGCCATCATACCAATTCATCCTTCAATCATTGAATCAAGCACCAAATATCAAGTCAAATAAACAATCAATCATTCAATCGGTTAATCAATCAAACTAACAATCGAACAATCAATTACTCAACCATAGGTTTAGTCAATTAATCAATCAATCAATCAATTAATTAATCTGCAATAGAGTCAAACAATACAATATTTCATTATACCAATCAAACAATCAAATAGTCATTGAATCAACCACAAACACTCAGTCAATCTTCCAACCAGTAATTCATTCATCCAAACAATCGATCAGTCCACCAATCAACCAATCAATCAATTTAATCAATCACACAACCACCAAATATACATTCAATCTACCGATCAATCATGTAATCCACCAAAAATATCAAGTCAATTTACCAGTAATTCATTCATTCAATCAATCAATCAATCAAGCAATCAATCAATCACTAAATCGATCACTACACCAACCGAAATACAGTCAATCTAACAGTCATTATGGAATCGAACCAAGGTTAAAATCACTTGTTATCAAATCGTTCTCCTACTCTTTCATCACTACTTTCAAGAACTTCAAGTTTTTCGACTGATTAATCGAGAGGAAACGTCAAGCAGTGAACAATGGAAGAGGTCTTCATGTCGAAACAAATTTATTTGACACAAATAACAATATATACCATTTCTTCTGACAAACTCGATAAATATAGGTTAACATACAAATATCTTATCTCTTTCCGGCAGAAAGAAAGAAACAAAATTAACTTACAAAACATACTACGCTACTTCCAAAGAAAATTCTAGCTATTCCAAAAATGTTGTTGACTTGGTTAAATGGGTGTATCATATTGAAAAAACATTTTTGTATTAAAAAAAACGGAGCTCATGAATACATAATTGGCAGTAATTTATCGGTACTTTTTCACATAGGGTATTACATTTGGTAATCATTAAATTGTATGCATTACATATTTGCATACTGCTTATTGAGACAACATTCGTTCATAGTATTTTGGGGAAAAAATGAGTGCAACTAAAAGCCTTTTCTTATGGCATTGGTCATTTATAGAAGAGCACAATTTCCTAAAATAGGTTAGACAATTTTTAAAATTGGTTTTCAATATTCCAAAATGTGAGAGTGTAAAACCACGCTTTAAATAAGGTCATACAGAGCCTGCATGCATTATGATGAAAAGAAATATCACAGGACCATTTTGGGGGCATCATTTTGTTTAAAAGTCGGATTAAACAACTTCCTAATGGATAGAATAAAAACATTATTGTGCAAAGGATCACATTGATATATCTCTTCTTATATGACGTTACCTAGCTTTGGTCCTCATTATAATTATACATACGACATACAATGGTACAAGGGGGACGAAAATACTAGAGAGAGAAAGAGAGAGAGATACAAGGAGTTGGCGGAGATTTAGGGAAGAGTGAGAGAGAGAGAGAGATAGAGAGAGAGAGAGAGAGAGAGAGAGAGGGGGGGGGGGGGAGAGGGGATGAGGGTGAGTTCCCTTGGCCTAATCTGGCGGCAAGATACTAGTGACGAACAGGACGAATTCCTCTAGTCGATGCAATCCAGATGAGTAGCCCCACTCACTCACTTTCATGTGGCAAGATCGACATACCCCAAGCATATAAACACCCTCCAGCTCGGAAAAGCACACATACGCTTCCCCTACGAATTCACATCAGTTTTGGCAAGTTTGAGAATGAAAACACACTTAGTTAGGAAGGATTTCCCTCCTTCCTATTACGAATTTGGCAAGATTAGCTGACTAAAATAGAAACCAACTAAACATCACCTCATTAAACTCATACCATATCATTTTCTTCTTCATCCTTATGCCCCCACGGTGCTTTCATCATTTTCATTCTTTCTTTGAACTCGCGGTTATAAATACGGGAGCACAAAAATTCCTCTTGATTATGAATACAATATTCTTAGACTAATACTATCGCTGTTTTTGCATCATGTCCGACTATACAAAACTCCTTACCACATAAATCTTGCTTATATTATTTCCTTCTTCAACAGATTCAGGTCATTCTTTATAATGTGACGCCATACGAGTTACATTGCTGTTGACAATTTGGGTGCAAGTTAGTATACTGGCATGTCACACTCTCTTGCCACGACTTCCATTCATTTTGGCATTATTTGTACTCGTCCATTCACTTTTTTCCATTCACTGTCTATTCAAAGTTTATTCAATGTCAATTCAATATCCATTCAATGCCAATCCAATACTCTATTCACTGCGGAACTTCTACGGATCTTCATGAATTGTTTGCAAATTTGAATTCAAGTGAAATGCCGATTTAGAATCTGAAAGTTTGCAGAAACTACTAAATTTCCATAAAATGCTGTTACAATAATTACAATTTCTTAACCCTTTGTCAATTTTTTTGATTTTTACTTTAAGATATAATAACATCTATTTTTGCGTTTTTAAGTGACGTGGTAAGACGTTGAACGACGTTGAACTGACGTTGGATAACGTTTTTCGACGTGAATTATTATGAGAACGTATTTATTTCCAAATTATGTCAGGGGAAGTTCGTTCTATATTTGAATCAAATTAAAAGATGATTAACACGACATTGAATTATGTTGCTATCTGAGGTTGATTTCTGACCCGGATAATAGTTTTTCGTTTCTTACTTCGTATTCATTAGAGTCCACAAGATTAATGACGCTGAATCTCCAGTGAATTAGTGATTTTTTGTCACCGTTCTTGATTATTCTTAGGCCTACATAACACATTCATTTAGATGTTCACAGTATCGCGTCGATCATAGAAAATCTCTGGCTTTCCGAATCCACATTCGACCATTACTATTATTTTAAGATGACGTTGACAAACTGTTTCTTCTGAAGACACATTGAAGAGATTCATAACTACTCACGACTGCGAAATAGACGTTGATAACTTCAGGCAGTCTGTTCTCTTCATGACTCTTTGGTCACAATTCATATATAATCGCGGTCACTGCAGTCACTGTTCAAATATAACCGCGGTAGCTTTATTGACGTCGAACAAATTTGCGGTTATGTGCATGACGTTACTATGACGCTCAATTTGTAGTTGATCGTCTTTGGTTTAAGAGTAAGCGCCTATCATTCCCATGGCAAAGTTGTGCTCCTTGGCCTTCAACCGCAGCGCGGCGATGCTATGACTGCGTCGATCTGTCTCGATGGGTTCCACACCGCCGGTGCTCATCATAGGGGAGTGCCCCGGTAACGACGTCGGTATACTGGGCGAAGTCTGACCGGAGTAGAGTCCCGCCGCTGCCGCTGCTGCCGCGGCGGCCGACTGTGACTGCCCGTGTGCGGTTGCAGCCGCGTGGTGCGGTTGGTTGGACATTGCCTTGAAGCCGAAGTCTGATGTCATCGAATGCATCCCCATGTAACTTGGCATGTTGGACGTGGGAGCCATGCAGGACGAGGTGAGCTGTGTCGCCGCGGCTTGGCCGGCCCAGTTCTGCATCGGGCTGGTGGTGGGGTTGAGGGATTGTAACCCAGCTCCGAAGTTACCTAGCTGACTTGTGTTCCAGGCTGATGAACCGGTCATCTGAACAAAATGAGGAAGAAAAAATACATTAGATTCGATCTATGAACTACGCTATGTTTTGAAAATTCGAGAGACAGAGAGAGAGAGAGAAAACGAGAGAAGAAAGGGGAGGGGAGGGGGAGGGGGCGAACCAGAGAGCGATAGGTACAATAACTTGCTTGTAAATACATAACAATAAACATGATTAATTCAACATGAATTTTTAAACTTATTTGCATTTAATTTGTTTGAAATGTGTAAAACCATCTAACATAAACTTAGATAAACATCTGAAAAGAAAAAAAAGGGAAGCATTTCCAGACATTCAATTCTTACACCATTGCAACCGTTTCACCGCAACGTAGAGAAGAAAAAAATAAATGAATATAATACTGTAAATATCATATTAGTCAAAAAACCATATACCTCAATTATTTAAAAGCTGATTTGTGTGTATTTGTAGAATGGGAACGTGGCAATATCCTCAAAGCAAAAGAAAAAAAGGTTAAACAAACAAACAAACAAACCAGCTTACATTAATTGTACTGCATATCTGGGCGCTAACGCCACTTATCATTATGTGCCCCTGCAGCGATAGCTTTCAAACCACTTGTAAACAAGCTAACACACAAACAGATATACAAACAAACAAACAAGCCAACAAACAAACAAACAAACTTACATTCATTGTGCCGTAAGCATCTGGTCTTGGGGCTATTGGCATCTCATATGGGGTCCCGGTGGCCATAGCCCTCATCGTGTTGAACTGGCTGAATCGCTCCCGCTTTCTCCATTTTGCCCGACGGTTCTGAAACCATACCTGAATAAAAAAATATAAAAAATGAATTGAAGTAAATAAATTAAATAAATCACGGCATTGATCTAGGAAACATAAAGAAAGTATTCCATTCTGAACGAATTGACCCTTAATAATTATGACCCCCTCTCCTGTGACGTATATAAATTTTAAAAAAAAAGGAAATGATAGAATACTGTTTGAATTGCTTGTATGACCATAATTATATCAAAGCCCCTTTAAAGGTGTTGGGAGCCCCCAAAATTTGATGGCGAAATTTCACTTTAATTGTATCATAATGTGAAAGAGGATGTTAATTAAGACACATTTCTACCAGGATTTTCAAAACAAATATGTTTAAAGTCGAATTTTGATGAAAGAATACAAACTTTGGGGCTCCCAACACTTAGAGGGCCTTAACAACACGTATATTTTGTTTTGGAAAAACAATGTCAATCAAATTTCATGGTAGGCTTAAATGTTTCATGATATATAAATAATTAAATGAATAAAAATGAGTAGTAAAACAGAAATGAATGAATGAATAAACAGATAGATAGATAAAAGATAAATCAATAATTGTGAAGATAAGATAATTTCTAAATTAAATACTTAAATGATTATATAAACGAATATGTTAGACCATTTTCATCTTTAGTGCACACAAAATTGTGTGTGATAATCTTAGGCATACAAAACTTGGAAGGAAGAAAATTGATATGCACCATCCATAAGAAAGAAATATATACCCCATACAATATTTCATTCAATTAAGATATCGTTTCATAGGGCCAGCTGTTTCCTTCCATATTGCCAAATACCACACAGTCGAGATAGTTTGTCAAAACATTCCCCAACGAGCAATAGTGAGCGTGTTAACCAGATTTCAATTGAATCCCATTTTGCAAAAATAATAAATCTCTCTCGATCGCTTTCCATTCAAAGTCCATCCAATCAAAGACGGGCTTGTCGAACTTTTTCTCTCTCTCCTAACTCTAAGAGTGCATAACCTTTTTAAGATTACAATGTTGAGACTTGAGAGTCTATAGTAATTGTAATTCGTGTACGAGTTTGGGGGTCTTCAGAGGAATGCCGTTGGTTGTGGAGTTGAGATGCGCGGAGGGATTGGAACGGGGTTCGATGCGAAACTACCCGCCTTGGTTTCCCGCAGAGGTGACTTCGCCGCCTCGTATCAAAGCCGCTGACGCGATTGGGAGTGACAGCGGGGTCAGGTCGGGTGACCCCCGGGTCCGCGCCGGCCTGGGTAACCCGAGTCTGTGGCGGTGAACTATCATGTCGCGCTATGCCACGCTGCATGCCGTGACGAGACGTATACGAGGAACAACAAACAAATGAACATGTACTTTGGAGACACAAGTCATACATCATGATAACTGATATGTTTCCAAACATTTTGAATGTTCCCATCACGAGATGAAATTGTTTTTTACCCTTCCATTTACAACATTTTTTCTTCCTCTCTCTTTCTGTTCTTTCAGATGACACGACCGCCCGCGAATCAAACCGAGTGAGACAAGCTTTCGAATATCGAACCTTCCTTGTTTAGTAGAAAAGGTTATATTGCAATGAAAAGACCTTTTTTATCCACATTTTTTACTTTGAATTATTGATCCGTAATTAAACAGGAAAGGTGTTCACGCCGGCTTAAAATTGCGAGTAGCGCATACACTTTTATTCCTTGGAAAAATGATACATTATTTTCAAATGTCCAATAACTCCTGCTACTCATAATTATTCAAGTAATGAAAATGGCGATGATTTGGAAACCATATCAAAAGAAAGCCAAGGGAGATCGTTTTCTCTGTATTACAAAAACTATCTGAACAGTCATAGGAACAAAATTTAGTAAGAACAGATGAGGATGGGCCTATTTGTACATGGGCCGAAGCGCTAAGAAATTCATAAGAATGTTTGTATTATAATTTATTTTATGATTTATTTTATCGCCATAACCATGGTAACAATAAAGATGCTGCATAGTGATGCGAGATGAGGAGGAGGAAGAGAATGGCGATGGAAAGATGGTGGCAGTGATGATTATAATGATGATGATTGTGATGATGATGATGATGGTGGTGATGGTAATGACGGTGTCGATGGTGGTGTTGGTGATGATGACGATGATGATGATGATGATGATGGTGGTGATTGTCATGATGATGATGATGATGGTGATGGTGATGATGGGCGATGGCTGTGTTGGTGATGATGGTGATGGTGATAGTAAGGAGGATGGCGATGGTGGTGTTGGTGTTGGTGATGATGATTGTGATGATGATGATGTTGATGGCGATGATAATTGCGATGGTGGTGTTGGTGATGCTAATGATAGTGATAATGAGGTTCATCATTATTATAATGGATAGTTTTTCATAATGAAACAACATAAGGATAACAAATCAATCCATTCCGAACCATTCTAGCTTTACTGACTTTGTGATATACAAACGAGAAATGCCCAAAACCATGATAGGAGGAAGTGGTAACCCCTACTGATGATAATGTCTTTGGCACATCACAATCAATTTGTGTTTGTAAAGAGCTCAAAGCTTTCACAATATTTTGACAACTTGACATTCGAATAAAAGAAATAGAAGTCATATAAAAGGTTTTAGATCCAATAACCACCTTCGCTTGGCACTTAACCTCATCCCCCAGTTGTTATTTACTACGAGACGTAACTGCAACAGGTGAGGCAAGCGATGACAAACGGCAGAGTTTTAATGACGAGACCCGTGGGAGGCTAACCAAGATTAAAAGCTTGTTTTCAAAAATGGCCACGGAATTTTGTTTTTAGAAATCATATTTCAGGCCATTGAACTCGGTCTGCTCACAAAAGTCATAAATCTTAAACCTTGTCTGATTAGTCTCGAATGGAAACATTTAATTTTATAATCTTCGGGTATACACACACACTATTTTTGCCTGTGTTAACTTCGCATGCACTAGCGTGTAGGGGAGATGCGCTCTTGTGAGAAAAGTGCATATCAGTCTTTGGACGATAGGGGTCGCTAGACCACATTCTTGGCACTGGTATCATCATTAAAGAAATAATTGAGACCTGAATAGGATGGAATAAATAACTATTTGTAATGAAGGTTAACATACCAACAAATAAACATAGAAGGAGGGGATAAGAACAAAATGGTGGAAAAAATTTGGAGAAGAGAAATAGGAGGATGAGAGAAGGACAATGATGATGATGAGGAGGAGGAGGAGGAGGAGGAGGAGGAGGAGGAGGAGGAGAAAGAGGAGGAGGGGGGGAGATTGAAGAGGAGCAAAAAACAAGAAGAAGAAGGAGGAGGGGGAGGAGGAGAAGAAGAAAAAGATACAGAAGAAGGAGGAGGAGGAGGAGGGGAGAAGAAGAAGAAGAAGAAAGAGGAAGATGAGGGAAGAGGAGGAGCAGGAGGAGGAAGAGAAGAACAAGGACAAGAACAAGACGAAATTAAGCTCGACAAATACCAATCCACATCTATACCACTTTTTCATCATTGATATTCTTTACAATACCTACAAATCCTATAAGCCTTCTAAAGAATTAAATTCTGACCACAAATAACATAATCCCAGCTTTGTATTCTTCATAAGTGGCAGTCGCAATCACGCATCCATATTTCTCATACAGCAGTTTCCTATACACACAATCCCCTCCCTATTGGTTAATTTCATTTCCCGCCATCTTCACCAGGGGAATTCCCTATCTGTCCACACAATGACAGATGACGTCATCTTATTACCGGTGACACGGCATGATCTCTGGGTTTGGTTTGGCTAATCAAACTAAATTGTTCATTTTTGGCCAACCTCATTTTTTCTCTATGGTCAGCATTTTGTGATGTTGTTATTATTTAGATGTTGATAGGCGGGCGCGATGGGGGGGGGGGGGGGGGGGGGGGGGGTTGTAGAAGGGACCTTGCTTTTTTTTTTTAACTTTCGAATCAGGCATGTAAAAAGAGCTGCTTTGTGATTATAACATCTTTGAACAAGAAAAAAATCTACTTGCAAATTTCTTTCAAGAAGAAATCGGAATAACAAAACAACAACACAATACAGAGAGGAAGGAGAGGGGGGGGGCAGTGAGGCAGCAAGGGGCATTAGGGAGGAGATGGAGGGAGGGAAATAAGTGGAGCGAAGAAAACATACAACAAAAATGTTATTCAATGAAAATACACACAATATTCCATTTGCTAACGTTTTCCAATTAGAACAAAAATGAAGTACAAGATAGAATGCCCTTTGTAATACCTTATTTGGGGGTTGAGCTGCTCCCTGGAAACCAATCACAAATTATTATTATACAACTTTTCGCACGGTATACAAATCTCAACAAATATATATAGGCCTAGCCCAAAAGATTATTCAAGCACATGCTGCATTCCGCATTCTGTATCTGGGCTAGCACTTGGCATTGTGCTATTGTCCTTGATGATTTTTTTTTCCGGGCGAAAAACAGAAGGATTTCGTTATTCTGCGTCAATTTTGAGCGAAAACGGCCTGCAATCCAAAGGGCGACAAAGGTCAAAGTCGGGTCAATGATACCACAGGGTTGCCGAAAAGAAAAGGGGATCATATTGATGAAATGGAAATCAGAATCTGATGCATTCAATATCCAGGGTTTTCCTTTTGTTTTCATTTATTATATGAAGATGTGTAAGATTTGCCAAAATTTGCAGGAATTAGGGCATTATTTGACGCTTGTTACTTCTCTGTAGGAATCCTATTTCGCTCCTCATACTCTCCTTATCAAAATAGGCCCCTATCAATTTTTGTCTCCTTTTCATTGTCACTGTACTAAGTCTTTTGAATCTACACTAGCTCTTTTTACAAAATAATAATATTAATCAAAATATCAATCTTCAGTTTGAGGAATGTATCCGTAAAGCATTCAAAGTTTATTAAACAAATTAAAGCCCACCCCAAAGGAATGGTAATTAATTATCTATTCCTATTCTGCGTCCATAACCAATTTCTCCCCCTTCTCCCACCTCATCCGCTAAACTACT